TTACAAAGCGAAGCGGAGAAGGCACAAAGCATCTCCCAAAACCGGAGAAGGGACAAAGCACATCCCAAGCCGGAGAGGGCACATGGAATATCCCAAGCCAGAGAGGGCACATGGCACCTCCCACACTGGAGGAGACACAGCACTTCCCAAACTGGAGAGGGCACATGGAATTTCCAAAGTAGAGAAGACACACAGCATCTCCCAAAGCGGAGAGGGAACACAGCATATTCCAAACTGGAGAAGGCACATGGCATCTCCCAAACTGGAAAAGGCACAGATCATCTCCCAAAACTGGAGAAGACACATGGCATCTCCCAAAGTGGAGAGGGAACACAGCATATTCCAAACTGGAAAAGGCACATGGCATCTCCCAAAGTGGAAAAGGCACACAACACCTCCCAAACTGGACAAGTGGCATCTCCCCACACGTGGCAGACTATGCCCAGGTTTCTCTCCCATCCAAGAGAGAGCAGCCACTCCAAGACACCTTCCAAGTATTTTTTTTTCCAGGAATGAAAACAGAAGGAAGAGGACGGGATGAGGAGGCAGCCCAGACCCTGCACTGCTGCTCCTCCTCACTCCTTCCCCTGGCCCTGCTCGGAGCCAGCCCTTCACAGCTGGAAGCAGATTCCACTCTGCACTTGTAAAACTGAAATTTAACCTGCTGGAAACACGTTAATTAAACTTTGCTGGTTCTCCTCTCCGAGCAATTCCCAAATGTGGTGCTGGGAGATGAGGATTTCAGCTTTTCCCTCCAGATAAAATCCATCAGGTTGATGCAGCTCAGCCCTGGAAAATTCTCCTTGCAAGAGGCTGGTGCATCTTTCATTCCTCTCTTTCACCTTGTTACACTCAGCACACCGAGGGTCCTGCCTGGACTCTCAGGATAAATCCCTGGAGGAAATCCTGGCACTGCCCAGTGACCAACCCCACACAATTCCATTAACAACAACACAGAAAAACAGAGAAAGCCAAATAATGTCTCTGCTCTGTCTTGGAAAATAATTTCCATCCACATCTCTCTACTGGCAAAAAAAAAATGCATCCTGGACCAAAATGGAGCATTTAGAACTTCCCCCCCAATTCTGACGCCGGTAGCGACTGCTCAGCTCAGTTCTGTACATTCACATCAGAACAGCCAAAGCTTCTGCAGCAAAGTTCAAAAGAATTTTCAGCACAGCTCAGCGAGTCCCTGGCCTGTATTTATAACACTCCTTCAAAAGCTCCAGAGGTGGGGAGGCAGCTTTGGAAAGGGCAGTGGGAGGATCCCGATAACTGCGCAGAGCTTATCCCAGATCCTTTCAGAGAGTCACAGAATCCCAGGATGGTTTGGGTGGGAAGGGACCTCAAAGCCCATCCAGTGCCACCCCCTGCCATGGGCAGGGACACTTCTCACCAGCCCAGGTTGCTCCAAGTCCCATCCAGCCTGGCCTGGGACACTTCCAGGGATCCAGGGGCAGCCACAGCTGCTCTGGGCAACCTGGGCCAGGGCCTCCCCACCCTCCCAGCCAAAGGCTCCTTAAACCCCTCACTACCTGCTGAAGGATGACAGGGTCACACCACAGAATCCCACTGGGAATTGCTGTGAAGTTTCTTGAGCAAAAGGCTCAAAAATTTTCTTTTGGAGACTTTGTTTTCCCCTGTGAGAATTGGTCCTGTGCAAGCCATCCTTGTTCCTGTATTTTATACATTCAGAGAATCCCAGGATGGTTTGGGTTGGAAGGAACCTTAAACCACACCCAGTGCCACGCCCTGCCATGGGCAGGGACACCTTCCACTAGCCCAGGTTGCTCCAAGCCCTGTCCAACCTGGCCTTGGACACTTCCAGGGTTCCAGAGGCAGCCACAGCTTCTCTGGGCAACCTGTGCCAGGGTTATTCCAAAAGAAGCAGGAAGAAGCCCTTGTGTCACCACGACAACAAAGCAGAGGCAGCTTCTTATCAGCTGAAACAGAGACTTGAAAACTTCCAGGCTGAGAAAACTTACCAAAAAGATGGATCTTGAAAATTACGGAGCAGCAGGCACGGGATCCAACTGAATGTGACACCAATGAGCAATGAGCACCACTGCAGGTGTTTCAGTGAGAGCAGGTGACGTGGTGCACACCTGGCTTTGCTCACTGCAGTGACACACTGGGCTGAGAAATGTTCATGTGGATTTGAGACTTGAGCACCAACGGGACGAGCAAACGGACACAGAGGCGTCTCAGAGAGGTCCTGAGGTCCAGACACCATCCCATTTCCACTGACCCCACTGACTGGCTCCTGGTGCTCCCGTTCCCTTTTCCCACTGGCAGTTGCAGGAGTTGTGTGGGAATTGGACACCCCCCCTTGGGATCACCTTGGAGAGAGCTCTGCTTGTACAGCTCCTGCAAAACCACCCCAAGGCTGTTGGAAAAAGGGGCCCAGGTGTTGCCCCAGGGCATCACTGAGCTGAGAACGTCCCCAAACCCTCCTGGAGGGGTGGGAGATGAGGCTCTGCTCCAGACCCTGGAGCTGGACTGACCAACAGGCACCGAGATGTGCCACAAGGATGTGTGATGGCACCGACAATCCCTCTGAATCCAACCTCTTAAGTCCTCTTAAATCCAGTTCTCTCAAGTCCAACCAAGAAGCCAAAGCGCAGCAGTTGCCACTTGTGGCACCCTCTGCCTGCAGATCCGTGTGACACGAGGATAAGGAAGCAAACAGAAATGGTGGAAGAGCCCAATTACAGTCTCCACAAACACTGGAAGAGCATGGATTCATCCCTGGATTTGCAGCCTTCCACTCTGACCTTCTTCGGCCCAGCACTGATGAAATGAGCAGTGCTTGGACTCTGGGATGGAAACCTGTGGATTGGGAACCCAGTGGAGCCACACAAGGAGTTCCTTCAGCCCAGTGGGCTTTAAACAGCCCTCAGGGACCCTCCAACACCCACACTGGGCACTGACTCCCAACCGAGCTGCCCTTGGCCGGTCCTGACAGCAGATGGAGCCTGTCAGGAGTTTTCCTGGAACAGCTTCTGGGTCATTTTCCCCTGTGGGAAGTTCAGTTCTCACCCTCTGGGCTTGCTCTGCGTTTGGAGGCAAAGAACAGGGAGAGGGGACGGGGCTCCAGCTCAGCCGAGCGCTCCGGATCCAGATGGGAACAGGGATGGAGCCTCCTGGAGTCCTGCAGCCCACCCTTCCTCCCCCAGCACAGCACAGCAGCTCCTCTGTGGCTCTGTCTGGTGGTGGGGGCCCCAAATCTCATCTCAGGCAGCCCCAGCCCCACGTGGGCCACTCGAGAGGAAGATTTCTCCAAGAGCACCACCTCCAATTTTTCTTCCAGATTCTTGGTTTCAACATCCCTCACCTGTTCTGATGGAACCATCAGAGGGGAGGGCACACCAAGAAAAGCCCCTCCTCACCCTCAGGGGCATGAGCAGCTCTCCTCCTCTCCTCCAAATGTCCCTCCTCACCCTCAGGGACATGAGAAGCTCTCCTCCTCTCCTCCCAGTGCCCCTCCTCACCCTCAGGGGCGTGAGCAGCTCTCCCCCTCTCCGACACACACTCCCCAGCTCTTAATGAACCTCCCAACCCAGTTTCTCCTCCCTGGGAAGCTCTTTTTCCCTGGGAAGCTCGGTGCCAGTCCCCCTGGCCGCGGGCAGGTGCCATCTGGCCCCGCTGCTTGGCGTGTGATTAGTTTGCAACCGTTCCCTGACCTATTTTACACAAACAGCCGCGGCTGAAACACCGACGTCTCATTGCACCTGACATGTTTTTCCTGCCCTTTTTCCCCTCACACTTTTTCAATGAAAATAATTGAGCCAGTCAATCACGGGCTCGGAGTCCAACGGAGAAGAATTCAGGCTGGCAGGGACCTTTGGAGGTCACCTAATCCAGAACTTGTCTCACAGCAAAGACAGTCACTTTTGAATAATTAACTTTCTCGTCATCACTGCTAATGTGAGGAATCTTCAGGCTTTTCCCCACGCCATTCCCGACTCTTAAACCTTCCCCCAAATTCTCAGCAGCTGTTTCTAACTATCAGCAATAGCTGAGAGAAGGAGGGATAAAGGATGTTTTGGGCCCAGGTTTCTTGGATTCACAGCCACTTCCAAGAACCAAGCTCAGTACTTGCTGCCTGCTGCAAATTCCACAAGAACTGATTCCAATTGTCTTTCTGTCATTTCAGGATTTTCACAGAATCCCAGGATGGTTTGGGTTGAAAGGGACCTTAAAGCCCTTTCAGTTCCAACCCTGACATCTCCCACCAGCCCAGGTTGCTCCAAGCCCCATCCAACCTGCCCTTGGACACTTCCAGGGATCCAGGGGCAGCCACAGCTTCTCTGGGCAACCTGTGCCAGTCCCTCACAGCCAAGATTCTCTTCCTGAAGTCTTTTTTCCCCTGCTGTACCTTCTGAGGAGGGACACGTGCTGAGAATTAACTCTTCCCTCCACTGACAGCTCTGGATCAATAAACTTCTCAGAATAATTCAAGAAAACTCAACAAGTGTCGATTTTATCCCCGATCTGAAACTCAGTGTCATGTGGCATTTATCACACCCAGAGAGGGACAGAAGAGGTGACACAAGGGAAAAGGCTGAGATCCCAAAATATCCCTTCGTAAAGCAAATACAACCAGAAGAGCTGCTCCTGTTCCTCACAGGACCTTCAGTGTGGGGTATCTCCATGACCATTGTCACTGCAAGGCAGGGAATGTCCCCTCCTCGCACCAATCCCATTAAGGATCTCTGGAATGGAGCAGCCTCCAGGATGCAAAGAGACAGGAAAAGGTGAGAGTTTTACAGCAGAGCTTTGTAGAGCTGCTCCTGACTCCTGACCAAGGGTCTGGTTAACTCCTGATCTGGATGAACACTGGATGAACAGCCCGGATGGCCCCGGGAGGAAAGCAGAGCTCTGCCACTGCCCAAACCCGGGAAAACCCACCAACCTCCCCCCCCCCAAAACACAGCCCTGGGCTCCCCAGCCAGGCACAAAGGGAGAAAAGGGGCAGGAAGAAAAAAGATCCAACTCACCAACATCGGACTCTTTGTGGGTTTTGATGATCTCGGCCAGCTCGAAGTTCCCTGCAATGATGGCCACCTGCAAAGACACGGAGGGAGGAGGGTTGAGCGGCCCCAATGCCACAGGGGCTGCCACATGGGCTGCCAACAGCTGCTTCCTGAGGGAAAGGAGCCAATAATCATCCTGCCTCAGCTCCCCCAGCCAGCAGCCCCGAGGTGGAAGCTCCTGGCCCCGTGGGGTGAGTGTATGTCAAGGGTTTGTGCGGTGGGAGGGCGGCCGATGGCTCGGGGAGGGACAGGGATGGTCTCCTCTCCTCGGGGTCTGGGGGTGACACACTGGCCAGGGTCTTGACAACGTGTTCCCTGGCCTGAAGCTCTCCAGTGATCCCAGTTAGAATCACACAGTTGTTAAGGTTGGGAAAGGCCTTTAAGATCATCGAGTCCAACCGTCACCGCGGCGTCACCGCCGTGTTCAGCACTTATCCATGAACCCAAGTGCCACAGACACGGGGTTTCTGAGCACTTCCAAGGGTGGGGAGTCCACCACTGCCCTGGGCAGAGTGTTCCTGATGAAAGGGGGCTTACCAGCAGCCAAGCCCCCTGCACAGATCCACAGAACCAACTCTCAGACAAGGAGCCCCTTCCACTTGGGCATTGGCAGCAGCAGCTCCTCCCCACTGAAACCACAGCGTTCCAGACTGACATCAAACATTGCTTTTCCCACCACTCCACAGGAAGAAAATCCCAAAGGGACCAGGTTCTTGGAGAACCCAAAAGAACGAGGAAAGAGGGGAAGCTGAACATGGGTCTGCTGGCAAAACAGACAGAGCTGGTCTGTCCTGCTCTGGGGAGTGATTCCACGGGTGTTCCTGTCCTGGGGAGCTGCAGGACACCAGCAGCCTGCCCAGAAAGGGTGGTGAGGCCTTGGCAGGGGCTGCCCAGGGAGGTTTGGAGTGCCCATCCCTGGAGGTGTCCCAGGAAGGCCTGGCCGTGGCACTCAGTGCTCTGGGCTGGGGGACAAGGTGGGGATGGGGCCCAGGGGGGATCCATGGGCTGGGAGGGCTTTTCCAACCTCGGGGATCCTGGGATTCTCTGAAGGCAGGTTAATGTGCAATTAAGAGGAGAGACTAAAGCACCATCTCCTGAAGCAGCACTTCAACCAACAGACAGAGACATCACTGACCTCTCACATACCTGGGGAAAGAACCCCCAAACCAGCCCCACATCTCAGCCAGCAGAACAACCCAGTGCTTCAGAACAAGGTGCAAAAACATCCTTGTCACACGTGAAAGAACCCCAGTGAGATGGGTCAGAGCACATGAAATCCACCCCTGACCCTCAGGAAAACAAACCAGGAGATGAGCCAGAGGAACTGGACTGAGCTTGGCTGAAGAACTGGGCTGAGCTTGGCTGAACTGTGCCTTTGATGCCCCCATGAACCGCAGCCACCTCGGCTCTTCCCCAGCACACCCAGTCACCCCTGAGCCCCTCAGGATGGTTTCCTCTCTGAGCAGCACCCACAGATTACTTGGGAATGAGAAGGAACCAGCTCAAGTCGATTCTGGGTGAGAACAAAGTGCTGGTGCTGTGTGAGAACACATCTGGATGCAGCCGCCCATCCTGGGACCATCGCACGCCTTGGTGTGCAAGAGCAACCCAGGAGCAGCACCCAACCCCCCCCAGACACGAAATCCAGGGCAATCCCGGCAGCTCCAGCTGTTGAACACTTCCCTGCCCTCCTACAAGAAGAACTTTCAGCAACAGGAGGCTCATTTGCATCTCAGCCCCAACTTGTGATATATTTACCCGGTGACTCAGAGCACACGCACACCTCTACTACCAGCCTTCCCCAGCACAAACAGGCCCACTGCCCTCAGCCCAACAATGTTTATGTGACTTTTTTTGTATTCTGAGGCCTGGAATTCGTGCTCCACCTCCTCAGCCAGAGCTGGAAGTGATCAGCGAGGGCTGTAAGAAAGGAAACCTTCCTTCTGCCTTCGGGAAACTAGGCCAGAGCAAGAGAAAATTGAGTCAAACTCTCTGTTTTCCCCCAAGCTTGCTCCAAATTGTGATTTTTCTGTCTCTCCTTATATATGCACATATATATTTATAAGATCTGCTCTCCCAAAGGTCACAGGCAAAGACAGTTTTTGTATAGAAGGGCAAATGACCTGAATTTGGGGAAACGTGGAAGCAAAAATAACCAAACTGACAGAAGACTGGAAAGGAGCGTTTGAACTTCAAAGTTCCTCAGATGAACAATTAACACACAGTTCAAAACCATCCAAGGGTGGTTTCCACCAAAAATCCAAATCTAAAGTACAAATTACAAGTCTCATTAGATGTCTGTCTTGGGAATGATCCCTGAAATGGATGGGAATTCACAGAATCCCGGGATCCCTGAGGCTGGAAAAGCCCTCCCAGCCCATGGATCCACCCTGGGCCCCATCCCCACCTTGTCCCCCAGCCCAGAGCACTGAGTGCCACGGCCAGGCCTTCCTGGGACACCTCCAGGGATGGGGACCACGGGCAGGGACGCCTCCCACAGTCCCAGGTTTCTCCAAGCCCCATCCAACCCGGCCTTGGACACTTGCAGGGATGGAGAAGCCACAGCCAAATCCTGGCTCTGGCACAGGGTTATTTTCTGAAGTGCTGTAACACCTTGAGTCATTCCACAGCATGAGATCAAAGTGACAACGCTGTTTAATCCAACAGCAACCTGCCTATTTTTATCTTCCTGGGCAAACTCAGACATCTCTGAAAGAAAGAAAGAGGAGATGCCACCAAATATAAAACCAGAGATCACAGGCTGGTTAAACAACTTCAAACCACTTAACTGGGCTTTCACCCTGGGCCTGCTTTTATGATAACATTTAATTTTTCTTGTTCTGAGCTGTCACTGTATATTCCCATTAGAGGAGCTGCTCTCTCCTTTCACCAAGTTTTGATGTATGATGGAGAGCAAAGATGGATGGATTTTCCTATGGGAAGACATTTCCAGCTCTGAGAGGGATCAAGGAAGAAGACAAGCTCAGGTTACATGAAGAACTAATCCAGTAAGAGCAGGAGCACAGACAGAGCCCTGCAGCCCCTCTGTGCCTGCTGCCAGCCCCTGGCCTCCACACAGAGGACTTGGGACACGATGGGACAGGACAGGATGGGACAGGACACGACAGGACACGACAGGAGCTCCAGCTCCCAGTCCTGCAGCTTCCCTGAGGAAGGAAGAACCTCAACACAAAGGGATATGAAACCCATCCTGATGATCCTGATGCCACAGCCAGGATTTCAGGGGTCCTGTGGAGGGCCCAGGTAGGAATATTTCTAAGGATAAGAGTCCTGATCGACCTGGAATGTGCTGTTTTACACAGGAAACGTGAAGAATGGCTGAAGACTAAAAAAAATGGAATCACTTTCCTGGTGCAACAACAACAACGTGACAGTTCAGTCACCTGGAACTTGCCCTCAAAGGTACAGACACTGCTAAATCCAGGTGGATTCCCATCATTATCTGCCCTTTGATCCTTAAAAACACCCCTGGGATGAGGAAGGGCCAGGTCCTCTGGCATGTCAAGCTCACGGACAGGCTGCCACCACTGGAGATGTCACCTTGGAATGGTCACAGAGAGCCCTGTCATCCCTGGAGATGTCACCTTGGGATGGTCACAAAGAGCACTGCCACCACTGGAGATGTCACCTTGGCATGGTCACAAATAAAGAGCACTGGCACCAGTGAATTTGTCACCTTGGAATGGTCTGAAAAAGCACTGCCACCACTGGAGATCTCACCTTGGAATGGTCACAAAGACCAGTGCCACCACTGGAGATGTCACCTTGGAATGGTCACAAACAAAGAGCACTGGCACCAGTGGATTTGTCACCTTGGGATGGTCTCAAAGAGCACTGCCACCCTTGGAGATGTCACCTTGGCATGGCCACAAACAAAGAGCACTGCCACCACTGGAGATGTCACCTTGGGATGGCCACAAAGAACACTGCCACCACTGGATTTGTCACCTTGGCATGGTCACAAAGAGCACTGCCATCCCTGGAGATGT